GACTAAATTAATACTCCTTGCTGTATTTTACCTTACTTCTTTATTTTCTGTGTGAACAAAGGCGAGGTGACTTCCTTCCTTCCTTACTCACTAACATATCTGGTTGCGCACGCACGCCCTCCTGCCACTAATCGATTCGATAGATATCGATACAAATGTAGAGTCGCGGTAGGTCTAGGGAAATCTAGTACCTTATAGCTAGCCAACCTTTACAAAATAAAAAGAAAAACTGTTATCGGTAATTCTTGCCACCGTGATTGACAAACGCTTAACACTATCTATATCCTTGCTGACATCATTTAGTGATTGAGACGTTGATGAAAAAGATTCGTGGTTTGTTGAATTTTTAACTATTTTATTAGACGCGGAAAAAGATTCAGTCAGTCGTTTAGATTCGTTCATGTCCACTGTTTTGACAATAGATTCCAAGTCTTGTTCAGACTTGTCCGCATTTGTCGTTTTATCTAAAGATTCTGAGTGATACCTAGAATCTAAAGTAGAGTCATGTGTTGGATTATTGGTTAAATCCTTGGCTACATCGATTAAAAATTCATCGATAATATGTACAGGCCTTGTTACAGGCGACAGCACCAGCTCGTTATTAACAATAGTCCTTTCTGCAATCACAGCTAATGTAGGATCCAAAGAGGATCGGATAGAGTGGAAGCTGGCCGTGCACCGCGATTCGTGCCATCTGGCAGTTCGGAGACGCACTACGTGTAGTGTGTCACCGTGCAGCTTATATCACTTTTTAACATTCATGTATTCTCGAGTGTACGCGATAGCCGTGTGCGTTAGACGTCGGACCGTCATCCGCGCGAGCCGGGTTCGATTCCCGGCGAGCAAGATTTTTTTTCTCGATATATTGAAGAGTAGGGGGATTGGCTCTGAAACTCGGCCACGCTATTTAACATTGTGCTCTTATGGCAGCTTCCACTCTATCCGATCCTCTTTGGTAGGATCATCAGTATGTTGGCTTTCGTTGGATATATCACTAGATATCTTAAAAGATTCCTTAATTGACTTAACATTACTTAAAGCCGCTTTTTTCTGCCCAGCAGATTTTATATGAGTCTCGAGATGACGAGCGAAATTTGAAATTATCCATCTGCTTCCAACTTTTGTAAAGTTAACAAACGCTGAACATAATGGGCATGCTGCACAAGCAGAATATGTAAATTCTTTGGAAAGACCATTTTCGTCATAAATATCTTTTACGGATACCTTTACGTTTGTAGAGCATTTAAATTGCTTCCGTATGTGTTCGCTTATGTTCTCATTTGACGTATACTTTTTATTTAAATTTTTGATAAGTGTCTCTACTTTTGTTGATTGTGGGAATGCTCGCAATAAATGCCGCTTTTAGTTTAGCTGAAATGCTTTATTTTATAACCAACTTATCTCTTTCGCCGCACAACATCTCCGCCATACTTTTTGTTACTACTCTTCTTCTCTTCCCCTTCCCCAACGCTAGCCTCGACGACCTGCCACTGAGCAAGTCAAATCCGCTCTCGCGAACATTCCGCCTCCCTTGAAAGAACTATCTTTCAACGAAACCTATTCGAGACTATCAGGGCACTTCTATAAACTATCAAGAAACGGATCATAAACTAAATAGCATATTACTACTGCTTCGCGTAGAGAAACAAATCTATAACTAGAGATCATAACCACTAAACTAACGTAATTCTTATTCTATTAATAACAGTTCTTAAGTAATACAACTGAGTTCTCGCATTATTCGGTTACATCTTCGCGTGGTAATGGGCAAAGTTTTTTGACGGGTCTTTTAAATTCACCGCTCTGTGTCTTGACGGTTACTACTCTCACCACGCCGTCTTGTCCAGGATGCAAAGCTGTGACTCTTCCCAGAGCCCATTGTAGTGGTGGGGTGTGGTCTTCCTTTATCAGAACCACAGTATTCAACTCGATGTTGTCTCCTGAAGCCGTCCACTTTGTTCTCGGCTGCAACTCGTTCAGGTATTCCTTGTGAAAGGGGACCCAGAACTGCTGAAGCAATCGCTGCCGATTCTGCCAATGGGTGAGACGATTCTCTGAAATCTGAGTATAATCATGTTAAGCAGGCTGTATAAGAGAATCGCCTATCAAAAAATGTGCGGGGGTCAAGACCGACAAGTCGTTTGGATCGCTAGATAACGGCATGAGGGGCCTCGAATTCATTATAGCTTCAATCTGGGATAATAATGTACTGCACTCCTCGAACGTAAGCACCCTTCCTTTGGTTACCGTGTACAAATGTCGTTTGGCGACTTTCACCGCCGCCTCCCAAATGCCCCCGAAATGCGGGGCGTGTGGAGGAATGAAGCTCCACTTTATTCGCCGACGAGCCAGGTTGTCTTCTATTTCTGAGCCCTTCCTCTTCAGGAACGTGTACACCTCCTTCAATTCTCGAGCCGCTCCCACGAAATTTGTCCCATTATCTGAGAAGATCTCCGAACAAATCCCGCGACGGGCTGTGAAACGGTTTAAAGCCGCTAAATATGCCTCCGTTGTCATATCTGAGACAAGCTCGATATGAACCGCCTTAGTGCTCAGGCAGGTAAATATCGCTATATAGCCTTTTGAGATGTGGATTCTTCCTCGGCGTCGACTCTCACGGAGCTGTAGAGGGCCCGCGTAATCAACACCGGTACTTCTGAATGGTCTGCCGAGACCGGTCACTCTCTGCTTGGGCAGATCTCCCATCTTCAATTCAGGAACTGTCGGTCGAAACCGAAAGCAGCTCACACAGCTTCTCACTATCTTGCGTGCCTCTCTTCGACCGCTTAAGGGCCAATAACGTTGTCTCACCGCGTTAAGAAGCTGCTCGGGCGGACAATGCAGTAGGCGCAAGTGCTCCTCGCGCATAATTAAATTGGTCACTCGATGCCTTGCTGGCAGCACGATAGGATGCTTCTGATTGTCTGGTATACTCGCGTGTCGAAGTCTTCCTCCTACCCGTAACAAATCCTCTTCATCCAGGAAGGGGTTTAGAGATCGCAAGTTACTTTTCCTTGACAGCTGTCGTTCGCCTCTCAAGTCGGCAAGGTCTTCGGAAAACATTTCCTGTTGCACCATCCTTATTATCGTCTGGTCTGCTCGCTCCAGTTCCTCGAGTTTAATTACGCCGGTGTTTCCCTTTCCTAGCGTTTTATCCTTAAATCGATGACATTGAGCAATTACCCGCTGAAGCTTGCAGTACGTCGGAAGTCTTGTCCATAAATCCGTGTTTTTGATCGCTATCAATGTGACAGGTGCAGTTTTTCGTTCAGGAGGTTCAACCTCCGGCTCTTCCGTATGTTCTGGCATCTGGTTCTTGCTCACGAGCCAAGGAGGCCCATGCCACCAGAGCTCACTTTCCTCGAGCACGTCCGCGGTGACACCCCTTGACAACAGATCCGCAGGGTTTTCATCCGTCGGCACGTGGTTCCAATCGATGTTCCCCGTAATATGCTGAATCTTGGCCACACGGTTTGCGACAAACGTTTTTAGTTCGTTTGGTCGCGCTCGAACCCAGGCGAGCACTATCGTGCTGTCGGTCCACAG